GTGGCGCCCAAATGTCGAGATTCGGCACCGTCTACAACTTGCAGGTTTTCCCCAACCAGGTATCTCCCGCCAGCGGGGCACCGCCCCAGCCGGGACGGGTCGCTTTAAGCTCTCGACGTGCGGTAGCGTGCGGTAGCGAGCTGATAAGTGTTGGTGTGTGTAAGGGTTGAGGATAGAAGAAGAAAGAGGAAGAAAATATCACGAGTGGACCGTGGTCCTTTTCGTAGGCATTCGCCTGGTACTGACCTGAGAAACCGCTGAAAACTACCTAGAGGACAGTGGGTCTGTAGAATCCTCCTCCATATAGACGTCTAATTCGACCAGCTGTGTAGCTAGTGTGGAAAATCCGCCACCGTAGGGACTCGTACCCAAGGACCTCCCGATCAGAGTAACCAGTAATGGTGGTACCGAGGTACACTCAGCCGGCGCGTTCTTTCAAAGAGGGAAAGTTGCTCCGTGTTATTGGTGAGCAATTGTTCGGGATGTCGAGGTCGTGCGAGCAGTGAAGAGAACAGAAGCAAGCGACCGCCGCGCCTGATCAGTTGCCAGCGCACGAGCGGTTGCAGAAGCGCCTTGCGCCCCCACTGCGAGGCGGCAGATAGCCCATGTTTTTCTACAGAAAACAGAGCTATGCATTCTAATATACACGAATGTAAGACCATCTAAATTTTATCACATCCTCTTATTTGGCTGTGCAACCGAAACATGGAAAAGAAAATGGATGGGAATGGAATATTACTACTTCCTAAACAGGAACGTAACGCTCACCCAAAACATTTTAGGTGATAAAAGGTCTAAATTTATGAAAAAATTAGGAGCATTTTTAGGAAAGGTTCGGACCATTAGGAAAACTGAAATTAAAGTTTGGGAAAACAGCACTGGTTAGCTTGAGAGGAGCCTAGGCTGGAGAGAAATTAATAAAGTCAATAAGCTAACAATAAGTAAGTTAATCAGTAATTTATGTTAAGTTAGTAAACAGTTAAGAAATAAGTCATAAGTCGTAGTCAATTGGTAACAGATCAATATAATAAATGAAATAAAACTAGCATAGTAATAAGCACATTAGGGGGTGAAGGGAAGGGGGGATCGGAAATATAAGCGCCGAGGCGTTGGTGCGGACGATCTTCTGTGGCGCTGTTTGATTTCAGGTGCTGAGGAGGCCATGCACTGGAAGGAGACAGCGGGACGCCCGCGCCAGAAAATAAAATAGCTAAAATAAACGTCGGATAGATTAGTATGTACTCGGCTTCTGACGGCAGGTTTTTCCCTCTTCAGGGTTTTTTTCCTGAGCCGTACCTTATGGTCTCTTTTCCGCGACTTTGATGCGATGGAGAGACCATTTGGGGTGAATACCAGAATTTGAAAGATTAGAACGCGACAGGATGTAGGTATTGTAATGGCTTAAAGTCCTTCGTCCTAGGCACATAGGATCAAGTAAGCTAATTTGTTTGTAATAATTACCTATTAAATAAATAAAAATACATTTTATCTCCATCGAAGATTTTTTTATTTATTACTTCTTGTTGGAAACGTTTGTCTTTCGGGGACTTATCATTTAGAGCTTTTAGCACATGTCCATAGTTAATTAGAAATTTGTGTGATACTCTAAATATTAGTTTTCATATTTTTTTTATATTTGATCTAATATACATGGCGATAAGACTTTCAATGAATTATTGCTTGAAGGCAGTTGTGAGGAATCTTGGCAGAATCCACGTTAGTGCTTAGCAATTTTGAGTTCAGCCAATGTCATGATGTAATCTCCAAATTTCTCGTAACACATTATAAGGTTTGCGATAACTCGGACGATGTAGAAAAGACGAAAATCTAAGTAAATATTTTTCTTTTGACGAAACAGTGACATTGCATATTTTTTATATCATACGTGGTCACAAAGATACGTCCTTTGTGCGCCTATATTAAGATTTCTGTCAACTTGCTGACTCATTAGAAACATATTTAAGCGAACATTTAGCGAGCCATCGCTAAAGTCCTCCCACGTACGGGAGTGTGACAGGCAACAACCATGGTCCACGTAAAGATGTTAGGCAATGCAAAGTAAGGAGTGCCAGTACGGGTAGGTTCCAGGTAGACCGCAAATGACTGCACAAAATGTTACTCTAGCTGACGAGGATAATCCGAGAGTCTCAAAATTAAAGTATGTTGCTTTATTTCATTAATTAAGTATTAAATGTGGGCAAAGAATTGGTCACCCCGACCGGGATTCGAACGTGGGTCTCCTGGTTTACGCTCAGTGGCTCAGGTTAACAGGCCTAATAAATTGTTCAATTATATGTAATTGTCACCACTCTGTCACCTTTTTTAAACGCAATTAATCTCGGAAATCTGTTCCGCAACAGAAAAGAAATCCAAGTTGTGATCATGATACTGAATAACAAGAATATTTTAATGACATATATGAATCATTAAAATGATTAGTTTCTTAGTGACGTAGTCACAACTTGTATTTCATTACTTTTGCGGATCACATTTCCGAGTGTAATTGCGTCTAAAAAATTTGACACGGTGGTGAGAATTATATATAATATAATTTATTAATCGACTACATACATGATATTTTAATAAGAAAAATATTTTCGGATTCCCTTAGAATAAGGAGGCGGGTGCCGAGGATGGAAAGAGGGGGGGAAGGGCGAGGTGCGAGAAAGGACAAAAAAGAGATGGGCGTATGGAGCGGGGCAGGGTGAGGAAAGAAAGACCGCGCGCGATCCGCGGCCGTTTGTGCAGATACTGCTCTGGCCTGCACCTGGTGTTGATCGGAGAAACCATGGAATACTACCGATCAGAGCAGCCAACCTCTAGACTTCTCCTCCCCACTGCTGCTGAACACGATTCAGCTATGTCAAACATTCCGTCACTACCCGGACTAGACCCCAGCGACAACAGCTGCCCAGAGCTAACTCATCCTGTTGGAATATCTAAGGATCAATGGTCAGTACACATGGCAATGTACGGCTTAGGTGGCTCAGAGCATCAAGTGATCCCACTGCAGTGCCTCTCACCGAGAAACCCTTCGGTTCAACGCCCGTGGTGGCAGGGTTTTCGACAAAAGCTAGATAGCTATGTTTACGAGTTTACCCGCTGTCGGGAGAAGAATTCTAGCGGTCGACTGCTTTGATTGGAGGTCTTCTGTGGTTTCTCCAGTCATCAGGCGAATGCCATAATAAACGGGCCAAGGACCGGTCGCCGTCTTTTCTTCCTCTTCCTTGTTCTATCCTGTCCGCTTGCACACGCGCACACGGAGTGAATTAGAAAGGTGGTGAAACGGACGGAGACGGGACAGTGAGATGGAGCCGAACGGGAGATAACACAACCGAGCCGGGTGGAGATCAGTGGGTCGAGGGTGTGAAAGAATGAGAGTCAGCATGATTTTTTCGTCTCATAGAGAACTGGGTTACAGAAATAAATGGGCCGTGCCGAGTACTTAAGCTAGTTAAATAACATATAACAAACGTATGTAAATCAATAGAAAATTAGATAGAAAACAGAACATTCTCTGGTAGAAATCTCTCGGTACCTTGGAATCAGATATGGAAAAATTCATGTAAGAACGGAACACTAGTAAAAATTCCTAACTCTGCAAGTAATAATAATAATAATAATAATAATAATAATAATAATAATTATGCGCTGTTAAGTCATGTGAGCCATTATTTGTGTGAAATACCATGGGCGTTGGCTAGCTTTAGCTGTGACAAAAATAACTCGCTAGAAAGCAATATATTATTTATTGCGTAGCTAGTAATAGCTTATGTTCTTTAATACTCGTCGATTTTTGGCTATTCTCACTTCGGATTTCTCCAAAGAATTTATATTAATATTTTACGTTTCTTCATTGTATCAATTCCTACAACATTAAGATATTTCGGATATTTAGAGACGATACCGGAACCAATTAAATCCCTCATGAAAACTATCGCTGACCTCCAACTGCGCTCCTTGAACTGACAATTCCGAGGCATTATCAATGAGCACTCCAGCCCGCAAAGCCTTAAAACGGAAGAATAAATTTCGCATAGCGAATTTCAACTGTTTTAGACAAAAGCATCGTTCTCTCGCCTGAACAAAGTATGAATCATGGTCGTAGGCGTGTGCAGAGGGGAAGTCAGGGGGGAGGACTCCCTGCAATTTTTGAAAGGGGCTCTTTTCTCTTAAGTAATAAAATATTTTATTGCCGTAAATACGGGTATGTTCAATCCGTTTTAACCTCTTTTTAATTTTACAATTTGGAGAATTGTTCCGACATTTGCGGAATAATTGCTCTTCAAGCCATTTGGAAATCCTGTGAATAGTTTAACGTAAAATCAATTGTATTTATTAATTGTATCGTTGAAATGGTGCTAACATTTCAACGTCGTTTCTCGCCCAAGAAATACCTCCTTCCTCTGCTAGTTGGTGAATGGAGCGTAGCGAAATTTGCGTGGTAAGACGGAAGAGCGGGCCTGATGGCCCGAGTCTCGCCACGTAAAATAAGGCAAATTCAATTAATTCAACATTTTGAAAGGATGCCAATTGCCGGCATTAGCTTTTCAATATATTTCACAAGGAAGGGGAGACGTAGGTAGGCTGAAAAATAAGTGAACTTCGGAACACTTTTAAGCCTAATCCATGTTGGTAGAAGAAGAAGAAGAAGAAGAAGAAGAAGAAGAAGAATTGTATCATTTAAATTATAATTTAATAACCATTGCAAAGTTTTATTTATTTACTAGAAAATATCTTTTGTACATAAAAATATTTAACGGGTTCAGAAATGTAGTTCTCCCCCCTCACCTCCGTTTTTGGCATACGTTTATGCCTAATCATGGGGACGCGTGTGATGATGGTCCATATTCAGCCCAGTCCCAGGCCGCGAGCGGTGCAGAGGTCGACGTCCGCGCTGCACTGGGTCTAGGTCACGTGAGGCGCGGATCGGCGTGGCGGGGGCTCCCCTCCCGCCCGCGCGCGGCGGGGGGCTTCGCATAGAAACTCCCGGCGCGCGGCGCCGGCCGCCAGTCTCCTCCAGACGTCACCCATCCGACCGTCCGTCCGCCCGCCCGCCCACCTGCCACCGCCGCCATGGGGCTTATCCGCGCCATCGTGGGCAAGACGATCGTGTGGAGCGTGGCGCTCTTCTACACCTTCACCGTCCTCGCCTCCCTCATCGTGAGGACCATCCTCCGGCCCTCGCGCCAGTTCTGGTACCGCAAGGACAGGCCGACCCCGCCCGCCGTGCTGCACGACCCGCAGCTCGGCACGCACAAGTTCATGCAGCTCAAGGTAGGCTCTTCGATGCACCTTGCACTTCTGAATAGTAGGGAGATTTTGCGCGCTTTGGCTGGCAGCAATCGGCTGCAATCTCGATCTTCTACGCAAGCACAGGGTGATGCGAAACTTGAACAGCGCAGACGATCGATTGCTTTAAAGTTCGAGAAGGCAAAATCTCCCTAGTGATGGCAAACTTCATCAAAACATCAGTACATTGAAATTTAGATACATCGCCAAAATATTTTCGATGTCGATCGAATCATCTACATAAATTTTTAAAATATGATCAAACAGATGGAATTTTCACATCATGTGTCCATTTTTAATTTAATAGAGTGAATAGAATTTAAATGAAATACCGGTATATTTTAGTAGTCACGTATAAGTGATACTTTAATGATTATGTTTATCGAAAATATAGAAAGAAATGAAAAAAATGACGGTGAGTTTTGCTATTATTCCATTTATTTACTTTCATTCATAAATCAGCGACGTAAAACGACCAGTACCAAAAATATGTAATACATAATTAATAGTCTTAAGTATATCCTGCTTTAAAGTAATCGGTCACCATAATTTCCTTATCAACATTCTATAAAGACAAGGTTTAAAAAATACTATTTAATGACATTACCATGTACAAAATCATCGAAAAAGATAACATTTTTATAAAAGCATCGATGTTTCTGGAAAAATATCTCGATCTATAAAAATAATCGAAAACAAAACATCGATGTTAATACGTCGATGTTTTTAATGAGTTAGATCGATGTTTTAAAAACCTCAATTTTTTGCTATCCTGATGGCGTTAATGTTTTGCATACGTATAGGGGGGCGTGCCCCCTGGAAATTGTAGAAAGGGCCCCGCAGCCCATAATATATTATTTTTTACACATTCACTAGTGAAAATAGTTTTTAAGGGCATCCATGGCTTGCAAAAAGTTCAATTTTTAGAGCTAGTTCTAATAGTGAGACGATGCTCAAGTGTTCAAATAAATCTGTAACTGCAACAAAGGAAACAAAATAATTTCGTCTCACCACGTCAGCTACTGCTGACCTTAACTTATCATTAAGTGATTTGTATACTTGATTAAAAATAAAATGAATGTCAGTAAGGCTGTGTAAAAATAGTATATGACACACTTGGAATAAGTGATATTATTTTGCTCGTAGGATTGCGCCACTCGGCCAGCTTGTCGGCCTCGTGTTGCGACCTTTCTATTTGACCTATCTAAAATAAAATGTCATTTTTACCTTTCGTACTGTAAACTACCTACCCGTAAATACGTTTAATCGCTGATTTCCCCCTCTATCTGACTATTTCGTAAAATGCTAGGAGGATATCAAAATAGAAACCTGTAGCAAAATTATAAAATATAAAATGCAAAGTGTGGGCTTAATATAAATAAAAGATTTAAATGTATAATTATTATAGACCAATAGCAAATAAAATTACAAAATATGAAATGCAACGATAGGGTAATTAATGTATCCTTCAATTCCCATCCACCAATTGAGTCAAATGATGTCATTCGACGCGTCTCGGTCTCCTGGTGGGGAACTGATGATTTATTTACGAACTAGTCCAGATTCTAAGAAACTATCTAAATGTGACACTGCTGACCATTTAAACGGTTTTAAAATTATTTTCAAATGATTTTTCAACATTTTAATAAATTTATTTAAAACAATTACCACATACCGATCACGTCATGAATTCATGACGATCACATCGAAGACGTATTTACATTATGAAGACACAATTTTTATTTTGTAATTAATATAATTTTATTATAATAATTATTTCTTATTTTAAAATTTGCCAAAAATTGTTTTTCTGAGCTAATAGCATCCCTCCTCCCCAACTGAAAAATATTCAGGGATAAAATAAGAATTTTGTTAAAAACTACTACGCTAGAGAGGGAAAATTGCAATCCTTACTACAAATAAATTCACAAACAGCAGATTTTCAAATTTAGCAGATATCCAATTAATAAAATAAACCATAATATAAATATTTTTACATCATGTTTAACTATTCTGTCAATAGTGAAATACCAGACTGGAGATAATGTTACCAGAAAAACACAAAAATGTTTTTTGTATAATGGAGAAGGAAAACAGTCTTACTTTTACAGTGAAGAAATAGTTTAATACTGTTGTACCTCCAAAGAAAGCACGAAATTCATCAAGTCAATCATCTCAGCATGGGACGAGATTAATACTGAGACTGAAAACGTGAGCGGATGTGGCTGCGACCTTGATTTGTTTTCGTGGCCTCGGCCTTGACTTTGGCCGTGATGTGGGAGGCCAAATGCCATTCCACTTTAAGCAATTACTCTCCTGTTTCTTTTTTTTTTTCAAAATAAACGCGAAGTGTGAATATTGGCCGTTAATAATTAGTATCAAGGATTGTTAAGATTGGTACCGTCAATATGAAACTGTTAAATGCTTCTAAATACTATTTTTATACACTTAACAAAAAGTGCCGATTTTAAAGAAGAAGCTTTTTTTGTGCAGAGACAACATCAATTCAGCGACTCATCCGTTTAATGTCATTTAATTTTTACGTTACATAAATATATGAATCATGGGTCACTGACCGAGATATTTTCTGTTATTATTATTACTATTCCTGTGCGCAAAATGACTCATTCACATCTTAAAGCGAACTTTCCACTCATGAAATTAACACCAATAGCGTTTAACAATGCATCTGTTATGGTTCACTCATAGCGATGCGTCAAACAAATATGGTTTTTGGAATCCGATTTGTCTTAGTATTTCTCTAGTAGTCAAACGTAAGATCATAGTTACGTCTTAGGTGGTGACGTGCACTGAGAGCGCGAGTCTCATTATTGTAAATAATAGTTTGCGCACTCTGAAACTCTGTTGGACTTAGGTTTATTTGTGGAATAGTCTTATGAAAAACCACGATTGCAATGGAAAAGGAAATTTCCTTTTCCATTGCAATTTCCTAAAATAAACATTGTTTCTCTGTAATACAAATGAACCCCTTATTATTTAAGTGTAAATCGCAACAGTCAACCCCTTTGTACAGAGTAACTCACGTACCAACACCTAATTAAGCGTGTGAAGATTCTCGTGGAAATAACGTTCACATGGGTTATTTTGAATTTGCGTGCGGTCGTTTTTAAGAATTTAATGAAGCGTGCGAACAGTTTTCTATCCGTGCGAATATTCAAAGCAGACACTACAATAGAGGACAGTCCCAGTTCGGGCAAGTGGGAAATGTTTATCATTAAATAGAGGTCGAATGATGCGTGTGCGACTTAAGCATGAAAATCTCAAGAGAGATTCACTTGCAGGATGTGATAGTTATTTTTTCTTTCCTCGTCTCGACAGGTCGGAGTGAGTCTGGAATGAGGCCAGCGATTTTCTGGATTATGTCAAACGCGTCATTGTGCCACTTTCTTTTGACTCGACTTCCTTATTTTTATTTATTGCGTATACGGGACATTTTGGGAACAATTTTGACCTCTTAGCGATTGCATTTTCGGTATTTTATTGCTACTTTCTCCCTGAATAGTGTTTCTCTACCCCTGAGGTAACTAAGTTGAATATTTCATTTAATAAGAAATAACTGTATTAGCTATCTGTTCCGATTATAAGTAAAAGTATTCGAAGTTTATTTCAATAGTAATCACACCTGATACTCTTGTTTTAAGAAAAGACAAGTTTTAGTCATATTTAGCTAAAAAGTCAGTTTCTATTTTTACATGTTGTACGTCTCCCCAGAGAACGTCACACACAGTTTTTGACAGTTTCATGACGTTAAATAATTAAATATATACAGAATTATTTTAGCACTAACGTTTTATTTTAAACTAGGAACATTTGAATCTAGTACTCGTATTATGAAAAGAGAGAAATGTTAAATACACATTTCTCCAGAAATTAGGATATTCACTTAAATGAAGTGCGCCCTTCTCGAGTTAATAGAGTACTGAATGCCAGAAGAAGAACGCAACCAGGAGTTTGTTGTACAAATTGACCTGCATTTCCGCGTTGTATCATTATTTACTCGTATAGAGCAAATGTAATATTTCCACCTTAAAATGTTCCTGGTGGTCTCTATTTCACAGACTATTGAATTTTATGTAATCGTCATGATCTGAACAGTGATTTTACAATATATTCATAATATCAGTGTCTTTGTAACAGAAGGGTTAAAATAATTCCTTTGGGTGCCCAGTAGAAAATATGAGAGTGCATCTCTTGTTTTCAAAACATCCTCTAAGACCCTTAAAACCTACTCGTAATTGAGCCCGACTACCAGATGCAAGAATAAAGAGGCAACCTTCGAAAACAGAAGGTAAAAAAACACGAAATATTAAGTTTTTTGAAATATCATGAAGTTGACATAGATTAACTGAACAAATATTTTATTTTTAAATAGATTTTATGCGTATTGATTCTAAATATCTTACAGCTACAATTTTAACGTATTTGCATTAATATTAAAATACGATATGATACGGTACAAAGATACGGTTTATTTAAAAAATGTTAGGTGTAAGTCGTTTTCATTGTGATATTCGTAATCTACGTATGAAATTGAGTATGTTGCGCAATGTATCCTTCTGCTGTAAAAATCTTGTTTCCTAGTGTAAATATATAACTTATTTTAGAATAAAAATGGGATAGGTGACCGACGACCACTAAACCTGTCTGCTGTCCCTGAAATTGTATTTAATGGCTTCGATTCTTCAGGTTTGGTAGTATGCTCCATATGTTACATTAGGTACTAAACAATTTTGGACTTTAATCAGATAAGATGTTTTCAGAATGTTGGCATATCGGCGTAATCACGGTTCTCCACAATTTTAAACACTCAGCGTTTAGAAAGAATTTCGCTTATTCAGTAACACGATAAAGAATAGTTTCTCTTAACTTTGACCAACACCTCAGATGACTCAGGAATGTCTGTGAAGATGACGCAGATACAAAGAGATCTCACCTTCAAGACATGTTCTTTGATCTGAGGAAAT